TTGTGACAGATACATGGCTAACTTGATTGAATTATATTTAATATCTTTTTAACCAGTTAGTACTTGTATAATATTATTTAACCAAATATTTCCTCTGTATATAAATTTTTGCAAATTTTAGACAAATTCTGAATATTATTTCCATGTATTTTTGACATTTGAATCGACGTGATTATACATTTCCCATAAGAACACATGTTAATTCGGTGCAAATTAAAATCCTTATAACTTGTGAACGCTTTAGTGAATCGATTTAAAAATTGTACTGAAGATTCTAAACATAAGTAAGATAATTAAAGAACATTCTGTACAATTTTCATTAAATTCTCAATATTTTGAAAATAGATACAAAACATCCTTAATTCAATATATTCTTTTAGTAATGCAGTATTTTAGTCAAGAATATTAAATTAAAACAACAATTTGGCTTGCTTACTACAATAGTTGACGTAAAGTAAGTTTGATTTTTCTTTGATACAACTTTACAATATTCTTGAAGAGAAAATAATTTCTTCTTTTGAGTACATGATAATGAGATTTTCTAACACTTGTGATGAGTATATTTTAAGATTATTATCAAGAATATATTCTTTGTTGAAGAAGACTATTACTTAAAAAAAGAAAAATAAACTGAGTAATCGCTTTTCTTGGCAGTAGAATGATATTTTTCTCTATGTAACGATAATCTTAAAGCAGTTCAGAACACGAAATGTACTTTGTCCTCACAAAAGCTTTCCCGTATTTTGTCGACACACTTAGATAGTGTATCATTTCAATTGTCAAACAGTGGCGAATTAATCTGTATGATACATTATCCGTTGTAGATGTGATTGATATCGAGCGATATCGAGGGAGAAAGATAGATGGAGAAGTAGAAAGAGCAACGTGACTGTTCGGATGCGACGAAGCTTAACGTATCTACGCGTGTCGTATCGTTTATGTTCTAAATATAAAAAGATAGGCTCGTTTCTTTCGACCACGGCAGGAGGGTAAAGTAAGCTGTGCAGGAGTATTCGCAGCAGGGACTCGGAGAAGATCGAAAAGTCAAACATGCATTTTTTTCGTACGAGCAGACGAAAGCCGTAGGATCGTGTCTGAATTTGTCAATCCATCGATAATATCCGGCTTGATTTCCCAGAATTAAACGTGTCAGATTGGATATCTCAATGCTTTTATAACGTGAGATGTAAAGTTGCGCAAATGACAAACTTTTCCCAGGTAATGATAAAAGCCGACGCGATAATCTAGAGATTAAAATAAATTCTAGAATAAGAAAAAAAAGTACGCACACTTTCTTTCAATTTGTTAACAAATCGTAAATACACGAGTTGCAGATATATCTTGCACGCGTTCGTCGGTATATCTAGATTTATAAAGATAATCTCCATTGAATCTCCTTTAATTCACACATAATTTCGTATTAAATTCCTCGGATAAATTTTTCGATGAGGCGGCGAGATAACTTGTGAGATAGGATCTACATTTTTAATCCAGTGAGAATGCAATTAACGAAAACTTTTCAGAAGCGCATGGGGTCGAGAGACACGCGCGTGCACGTGTTTTTTAATGGGTGCCATTGGAGACGCTCCATGCGTGTCCAATATCACCGACCTCATTTCCGGATAAAAAAGAAGAGATAAATAAATTGTCCGGCGAGGAAAATTGGGTGTCGTGATATCATCGTTGCGTTATCTCGATCGGATAACGACGGCGTGTCGTCGCGTTCGCGATTATCGCGATTTTGTCAGGATAAAAAAATGATTGAAAAATCACCGGCAAAGCATCTGCCACTTTTCGTCCTTCGGCGATGTTTCCTTGCTTCGAGAAAAAGAAGAGGTACACTTCGTGCGTGACAAATCTTGTTTAATTGAAGTCGTTCTCGAGATGGATGAAGTAAGAACGGAGTTAAATAACAGAGTGACGTAGCTGCGAAAAAATATATATATAGTTAAAACCATATAAGACTTTATGTATACTATTGAATACTATAGAAATATTGTATTAGTACACTGAGAAAAATCGTTTGATTGTATCAACAAGACGTATATGATTGAAGGTATTTCGGTTAAGTCAAATAAGAATTTCTAGTTATCGTGATAAGACTCGATTTTTTATAACTAGAACGTTTAATAGATTTTACTATAAGGATTTGGTTAGTATTTTCTGGTTGGATCTATAAAATTTCTTGTTACATTAATTTCTGTGCTTGTCACTCTTAACTTAACTCGTATTAAATATTTGCCATGAAATGTATATAAAGAACTAGTATTAACATTAAATCCAAAGTATATTTTTTTTCTCTTACGAGCAGTAGTGCCAGAAAGAGGACGCTAGCTCTTTGATTGTGTGTGTTTGAGTTGCATCCTCTTTTTGCACTGTTTATCAGTTTAATTTCTAACAAACTGAATTTAAAATAATTAAAATTTTCAATAATCTGATTTGAATTTATCCAATAATCTTGTTGGAATTCAAAATATTAAACAGACTTTTGTGATTAGATGGAAAAAATTTTAGGCGACTTGGTGCTGGGGAGTTTAGTATTATAACCAGAAAATTTGGTAAATTTAACAGGAAGAAATGAATCAGATGCATCTGGTAATTCCTACAAGAATTCTGGTTCGCCCATTTCCCAACAGACATACTGGTTGAATCTACCAGAATTCTAATTAATGCAACCAGATTTTTTTCTCAGTGTATTGATGTTACATACAGCAACTTTCCATCGCGAGAAACGCAGATTAAAGATTGTTGCGTGAAACGATTCTTGCGACTTTCGGGCCACGCGTCGCCGAAATAATACCGTTGCTTCCGAATATATCCCCGGCAGAAGATTCGCCTCGGGATAGAAATTGCCTCGCAGCCATCCGGTATCGCTTTAATTCGATAACCTGTTTCCTTTTTATCCGTCGATTCTGCTCTCACGGCTGTTTCTCGCATCGGTTGGTCTCATTTTCTTTTTCCACCCTGATTTAACGCGCACGGTACCGAATGACCAGGTCGGGCCCGTGGCCGTGAAAGTTCCTCTGTTTCACTCGTATGAGCATCACGGCCGTGCACGCGTCCTTCCGACAACGACCTCGCCTCTCCCCCGGATCATCCGGATGGAACCCGCTCGAGGAAAGGGAGAAATTTTCGAAAGCGATGACCAGTTTTTTTTATGGCGCGGTTGCGATCTCGTTATCCGAGCGAGTGAGCGAATCGCGTATCGTCCTTATTGAATCACGGTGCATCATGATGCATGGGCAGAGTTGATCAAGCTTCACAAATGACATTGAAATATATATTATAATACGAGACACGCAACTCCAATTTGCATGTATCTCGTTGCAATATCGGAGATTCGAATCTCGTCGAAATAATCTCCATTTTAAATATTATAAAATGATTTGTCGATAAACAGATATTTAATTCAGATGCGTACAACAAATAACATCTCTTGGGTACGATCCCTTTTTTCTATTCTGATACACGTCTTGCTTCACACTCGCGTCTATAAGTTCTTTATATTATCTCTCTTTCTCTGTCTCTCTCTCTCTCTCTCTCTCTGCTTGCGCGTTTTTGCAGCCCTCTCAAAGCACAAGCCTCCTCCACTCACTCGTCTTCGAGGCCAACGACGCGAGCTGGACCCCATTGTTGATCGATCCACGGTGAGAGGAGATTCTAGGAGCGTCATTATATTGCCTTATGCACAATCGAGGAATGATTGACTCACGAGTAAATTGCAGAAAAATGATTGCATGGCTGACGCTCGCCATCTCGCTCTTGAGAGCACTAATGTTATTATAGTGTTGTGCTGAGTATTACGTAGCAACGATTCGTAGAACTCACCTTTGAAATTATAACCGAGTTTATTCCTCGACTGTCGTAAAAGGAAAAAATGTACCTCCGAGATGTAAAGATCGATGACTAATGTACCTGATGATGCGAGAGCAGTAAATATTTTATGCGACGAGTCCGCGCGTGGCATGCATCGTTCCAAACATATATGTATGACGTCGTGGTTAATATAAAATACGATTCGCGAACGTATTCACCGTTAGCCGGAAGCCGTATCTGATCCCAGGTAGAGAAGGTTAATAAGTCACGCATGAAACTCCTCGATGATTTCTAAAGATATCGATAAACGAGCCCTGGCGATGATGGATAAAAATCCTATCCAACTTTCTACGTCATATCTCGCGATTTTTAATAACCGCGCGCTCGTGAACTCGCTCTCGGCCTGCGATCAGCTGATTCGTCACGCGTCGAAAGTGCGTGAGAGCCACGTCGCGAAATGACGATTTTTTTCACGTAAATTAATGCCTCGCTGCAGTCGTACACCACGTTTCTTTAATGCAAACGCGCGTCAATTATCTTTCGCGTGCTTTTCTCTACGCCAAGACAAGATGTAGCTTTTCACTTTCCACGTTTACGAATATATCTAGATGCGCAAGTAGTATTCCGGACGTTTTCTTTTATACACTGAGGAAAAAATTATCTTGAAATAAAAAAATTTTAGTTAACTCAAGCAAGCTATTTATTCGGTGGATACTAATCACGTATTTTCTTATATTCAAAACGTCTGTTTGCTTAAGTTAAGTATTTATTTACATATGTTTAAAAATATATATATGCTTAAAAAAATATAATTTTTAATTAAATATTTTCATTTTAATTTTACAAAATATTTATTAAAATGCATTTTTTATTCCCAAAAATTTTAAATTTTTTAATTTAAAAAAAATAATATATTTAATTTAATAAATTATAGTATATATTTTACGAAAATAGTATTTAAATGTAAAAAATATATAAATGAAAATAATGTACTTAACATGCATATTTAATTAAAATTAAATACTTTTGCTTAAATGAAATAAACAATTCCTTGCATTTAAAGCAAAAGTTTCAAGAAAACAAATTTATTTGATTTAAAAAAATTTTTCCCTCAGTATACCGAAATTTTACGCAAACTCTTATGCTAAATCTGAAAAGAAAACATGCGTATTTTTGGCACGTACCTCTGTATACATCATCGATCCACTTGTCAAGAATACATCGTATTGATTGCGTTTCATTCATCAGCAGTTTCCAAAGTCTGCAACTTTTTTCCTTCTTCTTTCGGTTCTGAAACGACGCAAATGATATAAATAGGTCAGCGATTAACTGTATGTCGCTAGTGCCAGGAGTGGTTTCTCCGATCGATGATCAACAACTAATTGGCGCTTGTGAAAACGTCCCGGCTGCGATCGCGCGCGTACGAGACGACGATTGGCAAACGTCCCGGAGCAAGTGGATGCAAACGCGCAGAAGTAACTTTTCCTCCCTCTTGAGGAATTGGGGATAAACGTTGGCAAGAGTCCCAGCGCGTAAATCGAATTGCCGTAATTTTGGCGCGTCGTGACTCTTGAATTTCGAATCTCTTGATTTGCTTCGTTAAGACAAACACCTTTCGATCTCCCACGGAATATTAATCAAATTCGCAAAAGGCTGAGATTAATATTTTAAGCTTGTACCCGATTTGATATTTATTGCGCAATAGTGCTCATTTGACGCGGTTAATATTAATTATATTAATTATGGAATTCTTGGACGGGCTCGCTTTCACGAAGCGAGTTACGTGATTATGCGCATTATGATTGTATGCGCAATATATGTCTCTTAACATAATTAAGAGGCATATATTGCGATTGACATTAATTATGTTCTCCGCGTAGCGGAACAATGTGAAACAATTGGCAGTTGCCCTACATCTCAAAAGTTGCGATTGCTTGCACTCGCGTCTTTTGTGTAAAATGTCTCGTCGGAAAAAAAAATTTAGCCGCTCTTGAGTCATTGTATTCAAAACTTACGAGCTAGAAACCCTTTCACACGGATGCGCAACGTAATTTTTGCAGATTGATTTCGTTTGAAAAAACGAACGTTTCCACAAGTAATTGCTGTTCCAGATCGAAAGTAATCATTTTAATCGATCGATTTATGTTGTAAGATTTATCGTGCTCACTTCGAGCGTCCTTGACCCGCGATTTTTGCACGCGATCGATATCTGCGCGAACGTCATTCGAGCGATTGTTTTGTTGCGCGTGTGAAAAATTCTCCGGCTGACAATAAACTGACGTCGCATTCATGGTTGAATTGAATCTCGCGCCTTTCTCGCGGGTAAAAGCGAGCCGACAACGCCTCATAATTGGAAAGCTACTCATGGAAAGCTGCTCGTGGAAAGTTATCTTAAAATTACTGTCTCACACTAACATTGTGTTGATATAAAATTATATTGCTGATATAAAATGATGTTGCTTGACATCAAATTTTTTTTTATTAAGTATGCCAGTGCGACCGCAAACATAGAATAGAAGTGTGTCAGTATAATTTCAGCGTGATTTTAAAATGTAATCTCCCACGAAGCCGCAATCTCCACGTGTTATACTCTTCGGCGAGTTTTCGACACGATCAAGATTGATGAAATTTACTTTCGCACACGTATCTTGGTTACTTGTGCCACTCATCTTGTAAGCAGATTGAGTTATCGAGTTCGATATAATCCGACATTATTTCAGGATTTTAAAGATTCCGTTTGTGAAAAAGGAATGGAAATTCCATCTCACTAAATGTCGCAGTTCAAAAACTCGCGAAATTGATACATGTCTGGCCTTTATGTTTGTCATCTCGATTACGGAGAATTTAAATCATATCGAGATAGATACTTCAAGAATAGCTTGCGAGAAAATGTTATATTCTATCGATATAAATATCATTGTAGACAATAATAATTTATTTATTGCAAGACCTCATACACGGCCAAGTGTCTTTATTTACTCGTACAATATTCACCAATCGTCGCGTTAAGATTAACATAAAAGTAAGAAGGAACACGAAGAATCTTGCTTCTGCGCGAGAAGAACGCGAGCAGCTGCAGCCGAGTCTAGTCTTTGTGCTGCTGCAGGTTGGCAGGTGTCAGATACGATATACATCTGCCAACTTGCACGTGTCGCGGGCATGTGTGCGTCTGCAGGTACATGACGATCCCTGGTGTAGAATCGGGGCGCGCCAGGTCGACGAAATGTCGACGAGCCGGTGTGCGACCGATCCACCGGCGGTATGCAAGTTTTGGGAAGCAAATCTGTTCACCTGCTGCATCATATCGCTAGGTGTGTGCCTGGGTCCGGTCTGCGTGCAGCCAGGTGTCTCGAGAAAAATCGAAAGCCACGAGGCCGGGCCTGAGATTATTAAGGTTTGCCCCCCGAGCGAGCGTAATGATAGGGTACCGCGCTCCTCGGTTGGATGAGAGTGTGTCCAACTTGATCGTATCCTTTTCTTCTTCTTTTCCTTCCCGCTGCTGCCGCCATCGCCATCGCTGCCGTATTTATGCGAACGAATTTCGCTGCTCGCCTCGCGACGTGTCCTGCCCATGTTCGGTTTCGAAAATCACGGTCAACCGCTAATTTCAGTTCCTTTTGATCATAGAAATATTCTGCTTGCGACAGTTCTTTTTTATTAATTGAAACCCGCATCTTAGAAGCATGTGGGTTTTCAGTAAGACTGATTCCTTTATTCGTCCGAAAGGTGGCTATTGCAAATTTTTATGCGGCTTTTGTATTCGCTGTTATTCATCTCTCACGTATATCTGAAATAGGACATCTCCCAGGCTCTACGATATAGTGCTGGATTCTAAATTTAGCCTCTCTCGCTCATTTGTGCGCTTTTTATTCGTCACAAAGGGGCGAAGTATCGAGTTTTATCCCCGTCTCTCCCATGCCGTTTCATCAATAATACATTATATTGATAATCTAAATAGAACTAGAGCAAGTCTCCCTGATGTTTTTCATACATCATTCAGTTACTGAAATTCTCAACCTTCCTATATAGATACTTTTCTCTCTCTCTTCTCCTCCTCATGGAAGAAAATTACGTTTTTTTTTTACTTTGATCCATTCGAGACCTTCCATCAAGGGAATTGAACTTATTCCATTCACATTGCTCGCTCCCTCCTCTTACGTTAAAGGTAAAGAGAATTCATCTCAGGTATATCAGCCATTTCCCAGAATTTACATGAATGAAAAACTTGGCCATCTGTCGAGCAAAGTTAATTGCAAGGATAAATTGCTGATTATAAGTTAATACAATAATATTCCAATATGTCAGACGGTAATTTCGCGCACGATTCGTTAAAGTTGCGTCTTTAATAATTAACAATAAAGGGAAGAGCAAAGTTGCTGGAGAGAGTTTTTAATTAACTGTGGATATGCCTCAAGAAGACAATGGACCATAAAAGCTCTTTTGCTAGGAACGAGAATATCGATCGATGATTATTAAAGATGTTTACGTTTTTTCTTCTCGGTCGAATTTTTGTTTCAATATTTTGCACTATTATTCCTTTATTTTTTTTTTTTGTAAAAGAAGAAAATTGCGGTTCGCGCAATATCGATACATTTTCAACACATTTTGATCTTGATTTAATCGAAGAGAGAGAAAGAGAAAGCATGCGAACTTTATTGCGTAGATATGTGCGTTGATCTACCATCCGTACAATCTATTTAAAAGGTTATCCACCGATGTGACATTGACAATGGCATGAACAGGCAGGTCTAATGAACCTAGTAGTGCATCGTCTCGTAACTTCCTGTCCTACCTTTATCATAGATTCCCACTACACATTTAGCATAAAAATAGCTTAAATAGCAAGATAGATTACAAATAAAAAGTCAAGCGATTACACAATATCGTACACAGAGAAAAATATTCTACTGCCAAGAAAAGCGATTACTCAGTTTTTTTTTGTTTAAATAATAGTTTTCTTCAACAAAGAATATATTCTCGATAATAGTTTTAAAATATACTCATCACAATCGTCAGAAAATCTCATTATCATGTACTCAAAAGAAGAATTTATTTTCTCTTCAAAAATATTGTAAAGTTGTATCAAAGAAAAATCAAATTTATACGTCAACTCTTGTAGTAAGCAAACCAAATTTTTGTTTTAATTTATCTTGACTAAAATACTACACTTACTAAAATTCAGAATATATTTAATTAAATTTAATGCTTGTGATGAACTTTTGCGGATATACAAACTTATGATATACTTAAAATAAATAATATTTACTTGAATACAGTATACATTTTTCTCTGTGTATACATGCATCTTATCAGTTTTTTAAATTTAATTATGGATTTTTATAATTCGCAGCATTTATATAATCATATTATCATTTGTGAATTTAGAGAGCGTACATTTTCGAGATGACAAAATTCAGTCACGTTACGTAAACGCGCAACTTGTTTCCAACATTGACTCGTTTCGATGTTAAAAAAAGAAGCGTCCCGCTAATTGGAGTGTTAGCGACACTCGTAAACTCGCTCGCTTAGATAAGAGTCCCGTGGCTATTAGATCTATTTTCCATTGTTTCGAGTGGGGCCGAGACGAGGGAACCGCAACGATCTCTCCATCGATGCGTTTGATGCGATCGCGTAGGCTCTTGACCGCGGTTCTTTATGCAACGGTCGTCTTTTTTTTCAGGATCCAGGGTCACTCTCCAATTAGACATCGATATGTAATTATAGACTCGCGTATAATTAGGGGCGGGCTCGTCGGCCTAAGAATACATCGATTTCTGTCACTGCACATTAGACGCGGGATCACTGCGCCGTTTATAAACGTCCCGTGGATCCTGATGGCAAATTATAAATCTTCCGTAATGAGTGCGCGCCCGCCTTTATAAACCGTTACTGGCTTACAGTTAATTCTCTTCGTGACTAGCGGCGATACTCTTTTTGTAAGTTGAGAGAGGAAGAGCTGTTGCGCAATCTTCACTTCCGATTGAACACTTTGCGAAATCGAACCCGCCAAACTATTTTTTCCCCGAGATTCGTTTCGATCGATCGATTCCTTTATTGAATTTTTATAAAACGGTCTAATGAAAGCTAACGACGGATGCACCGATGACGATGATGCATTTGCATGCGCATCGTTCCACATTTGCAGCGAGGCGAATCTATCGCGCTCCATTGTCCGACACTAATGAGACAAGCTTCAGTTATTCCAACAACCGTTTTGTAAAGACGTCCGATTATTTTCTGACATCTCCACGAGACGATCGTCAATTTTCTAAATATATATATATATATATATATATATATATATATATATATATATCAAGCGCGCTTTATTTATGCGCGAAAAAATGAGAGGCATCGTGTCGATATCTTTCGCCGGCCTGATTCTGTTGAATTTGTAAAAAATGTATAAAATCGATTATGGCGAGCTCGATAAATTATGCATTACCAAATTAATTATTTATTAGCGAATTTTTTAAAACGGGCATTTATAGAAGAGAAATAAATTTGCAAATAATTGTATATCAATTTTGCTTGAATATAAAAACAGCGAGACGAATTTCGAAAAGGACGATAATCGGATAAAAACGAAGCACGTCATTCTACTTTCACTGGAGAATTGAATGTTTAAATACAAGATCGACATTCGCTGCGTACGTCGAAGGGAATCGCGCGATATGAATGAGGGCGAAGCGTCAGATCGCTCGCGGCGTCATTTCTTGGCGCGCTTATCGCTCCGCTTATCGCGGACGCTCGCGGCAACGACGCACACGTGCAACGATGCGCATCCGCACACGTGTTCCCGCCGACTCGCGGCCAAGGAGCCACCCACGTTAATGCTTTGTCTCCGATTACTAAATCGCGCGTTTAGTCTACGGAGAGAGAGAGAAGAGATAAGAGGACGCGGTGATAAATTGCGGTAGGCGAAAATGGGTGAATCAAAAACTGCGTTATTCGCTGCGTTAGACGCACTGAGAAAAATCGTTTGATTATACCAACAAGACGATTATATGATTGAAGGTATTTTCGTTAAATTAAACAAGAATTTCTAGTTATCGTGATATAAGACTCGATTTTTTTATAACTAGAACGTTTAATAGATAAGGATTTGGTTAGTATCTTCTGGTTGGATCTATCAAATTTCTTGTTACATTAATTTCTTTGCTTGCTAGTCAGTGAGCCACTCTTAACTTAACTCGTATTCAATATTTGCCACACTGAGGAAAAAATCTGGTTGAATTAATTAGAATTCTGGTAGATTCAACCAGTATGTCTGTTGGAAAATGGACGAATTAGAATTCTTGTAGGAATTACCAGATGAATCTAATTAATTTCTTCCTGTTAAATTTACCAAATCTTCTGGTTAATAATACTAAACTCGCCAGCACCAAGTCGTCTAAAATTTTTTTCATCTAATGTCAAAAGTCTGTTTAATATTCTGAATTTCAACAATTCTCTTACGAGCAGTAGCCAGAAAGAGGACGCTAGCTCTCTGATGGCGTGTGTTTGAGCTGCATCCTCTTCTTGCACTGTTTATCAGTTTAATTTCTAACAAACTGAACTTAAAATAATTTATTCAATAATCTGGATTGAATTTATGCAATAATCTTGTTGGAATTCAGAATATTAAACAGACTTTTGAGATTAGATGGAAAAAATTTTAGACGACTTGGTGCTGGCGAGTTTAGTATTATTAACGAGAAAATTTGGTAAATTTAACAGGAAGAAATGAATCAGATTCATCTGGTAATTTCTACAAGAATTCTGGTTCGTCCATTTTCCAACAGACATACTGGGGAATGTACCAGAATTCTAATTAATGCAACCAGATTTTTTTCTCAGTGCACTGTTTATCAGTTTAATTTCTAACAAACTGAACTTAAAATAATTTATTCAATAATCTGGATTGAATTTATGCAATAATCTTGTTGGAATTCAGAATATTAAACAGACTTTTGAGATTAGATGGAAAAAATTTTAGACGACTTGGTGCTGGCGAGTTTAGTATTATTAACGAGAAAATTTGGTAAATTTAACAGGAAGAAATGAATCAGATTCATCTGGTAATTCCTACAAGAATTCTGATTCGTCCATATTCCAACAGACATACTGGTTGAATCTACCAGAATTGTAATTAATGCAACCAGATTTTTTCTCAGTGCGAAATATCGAAATAATTGCGCAGCGATGCGCGATGAAACTTTCGTTGAAGATAATAAATTAGTTTTTATTTTGTTCACCTCTCTCTAGCCTTAACGCAAGAAAGAAATTGCGGGTCAGTTAATTGATAATTATTTCTCGAAGACCTATCTTAATGTCATTTTAGCCTGACATAAAAGAAGAGTCGTATAATTATTTAATATTTCACGAAAATTTTTTCGTGTCAAACAGCTTATTGAAATATCAGAGATTGATATTTCAATTATTAACATTGAAATGACTATAATTATGCTCCGTTTATTATATAATCATAAGTATTATTTAACGATCTCCGTATCTCATTTCGCTATAACGAGCATCCGTTCCTCTTGATTACAGAGTCCTGGAACGTTGCACAAAGATGTCGGCGGTGCTGGTACGAAGGTCAGCGAGAAAACGGTCGGCGGCGTCGGCACGGCGACCCTCACCACGCTCTCGTCCATTAATAACGCGTCCAACGCCGGCCGTAACAAAAACAACCCCGTATCTCACGAGGTAAGCCATACAACGCGACCGTGTAAGAGACGAGATCCTCGCGTATATTGATCATAGCCGAGCGATACGTCATCTCGGGCCTCGCAGATGACTGCGATAATTAACCGGTCCTGGGCTTGAATTTATTGCCCATTAATCCGCTCGCATTCACCGGGCGTGTGCGTGCTCGAGGAATCGACTCCGTCCCTTCCGCCTCGCGATATCTATACGCTTGTTGTACTTGTTCGTCTTGTGCGTCCGCTCGTACACAGGCGCATTATTCAGTGCATGACTTATTGGACGCAGCGTCAAGTACCGTTTACACTTTAGTTCTACTTTTGTCCCTGTCTCTCTCTTTCTCTCTCTCAGGTCGTATAGAGTGGGAGTTGGGCCCGCATTTTGCGCGATAAAAAATGCGATTGCGAAAGCATGAGTCTTGTTATTTTAATTTTAATTTTATTTACAGTCCAATATACTCGGAGAATAGAATTTCATATTTATTTCTAAGAATAGAAATGGACACAAAGGAGGAATAGAATTGAGATTAATTGTGGCGAAGCGGCGAACGAGGCTTTACGACTCTACTTGACGCCTTTGTTTGAAAGCGTGCGCGACGAGAAAGCGCGGAATAAGGAGATCTCTCGTCGATGACGCGATCGGGGATCGTTCGCACGCGTCGAGACTGTTATCATCATCGGGCCACAATGTGTACGCGGGCTGCACGTAGGATTTTATTAGCCATTGTGTTAACGAGGAAAATTACGCGTCCGCGTGTGCACTTATGTATATCGAGTATCCGCATAATATATAATATTTATAGAGTAGAAATCGCGACTATCGGTGACGAAATCCGCGTTGCAGTTTTTCTTGACGGGAATTTTTCCGGGGATTTATCGAGCAAAAGAAAGAAAACGCGAATTCGCTCGCGATGCTACTCGGACGGAACTAATTGAAAATTGTTGCCCTCGGCTACCTGTTAGGATGCGATAAATCGTGTCCCTGAACGTGCACGGATGTTACTATCGTCTTGCTCCTAGTTGCGGTTTCGGCTGGATCCGTCGCTGAAACGTCATGAAATGACACTCAATTTCTCGCGCTCGAGTTCGTCGTCCTTTGAGGCGCGAAATGGCCACAATAAGATTGCACTCGCTGCGAATGTTCGTCGTACATCTATCTGTACGTGGATGCAATTAAAAAATATTCTATTTAAGGATGTTTTGTATGTACAATCCCAGTAAAAAATACACAGAGAAAAATATCTTTCTACTGCCAAGAAAAGCGATTACTCAGTTTATTTTTCTTTTTTTAAGTAATAATTTTCTTCAACAAAGAATATATTCTTGATAACAATCTTAAAATATACTCATCACAAATGTTAGGAAATCTCATTATCATGTACTCAAAAGAAGAATTTATTTTCTCTTCAAGAATATTGTAAAGTTGTATCAAAGAAAAATCAAATGTCAACTCTTTTGTCAAATTTCAAATGTCAAATTTTTGTTTTAATTTAATATTCTTCACTAAAATACTGCACTTACTAAAATTCAGAATATATTCAATTAAATTTAATGCTCGTGGTAAATTTATGATATATTTGCGGATATACAAACTTATGATGTACTTAAAATAAATAATATTTACTTGTATACATTTTTCTCTGTGTAGTTGAAAATTAATATTGACAAATATATCCACTTTTGGTGTATTTTGAGTAAGAAATTGTGTGAAATATTACAATTTGATCTTATTGTTAGCTACAGTGCAGAAATGTATTTTTTATTTATTGCATTTTTACTGAAATATTCCGAATTTTGTTAATCGTAATGATTAACTTTTGGCAGAAAATTTCGCCTTGTGACAGATACACATGATTAACTTCATTAAATTATATTTAACATCTTTTTAACCAGTTAGTACTTGTATATTATTTGACCAAATATTTCCTCTGTATCTAAGCTTTTGCAAATTTTAAACAAATTCTGAATATTATTTCCATGTGTTTTTGTCATTTGAATCGACGTGGTTACACGTTTCCCATAAGAACACATGTTAATTCGGTGCAAATTAAAATCCTTATAACTTGTGAATTGATTTAAAAATTGTACTGAAGATTCTAAACATATGTAAGGACATTCTGTAAAATTTTCATTAAATTCTCAATATTTTGAAAATGGATACAAAACGTCTTTAAAGATCGATAATAAAGGAATAAAAAAGTAACACGAATTCGGGGGGTATTGTTTTTTCCGCGCTTCTTTCTCATTAATTCAATTTAATTTATAAATTAATAATAAATAAATTCCTTTTCGTCAAAATAAAAATCTGCGCTGGTCAATATCGCAACCTTGGTCGATATCGTCGTCGTGTCTGCAGTTGCCAGTCGAAGCGGAGAATTAATCGCCAAACACTCGTTAAAAGGTACAAAGAGAGGTACCTTTCTAGTGGCCCGCGGCCAATGTCGTCACCGCGGTTAATTTGTTCATCCGAACTGTCATTACGCCCGTCGCGACCTCGATTCCGCCGCTGTATCATTTCTTGCACCTCCGTGACACGAATCTCGCCATGTCATTGTCGTTTGTCTCCTTAATGCCTTCCCGTTTTTTTTTCCCTTCTTTTTTCGCGAGTCTCCATTACGCGACCGAGACGATCGGATTTCGTTGCGTTGCGTAATTATGCGCGATCGCGATCCCTCATGCGCGTCGCGGTTTTCAAGAAAATATTTCTCGCATGCATACGTAAGAGTCGCTACACGCAAAAACACGTATGCGAGAAAAGAACTTCTTACCTTTGCGGTTTATGATCATAGCTTTGTGTCTATCTGCATTTCTCGAAGAGATAGATAGATGCGTGTAGATACACAGGCATGATTCACCGTTACTTTTACTCGATTCGAGTGTATTGCGCCGCGATTTATCGAGCTCTCGGACTAATTCATACGTGAATTTAGAAAGTCCGGCGCGAGATTTGTAGCTAATTGTTGTACAGCGTTTGTGCAACCGTGACGGGCGCGAAAGCTAACGCTCGACTCCTTCGGTTGCTGTCATTTTGCAAAACGAAAGCGTTCATTAGTCAGCCAAAGCCCGAGGCGGCGATTAACACGCTCCGTTCGTCGTTGCACTTACACGAGAGAGTAATTATTATGCATCTTTTATCTTCATTGATTCCCTCTAATTTTCTCTAATAATCTTTTCTTAGTCACGATATATCAAAATTACATGGGAATTATTTCCATTTATGTCAATGTTTTGACGATATAGCCTTTATTATAATATTATAAGCCGAATAATAATAGTTGCATATCCGCGTTCTCAATAGTAACAACAGTATCCGGATATATTTATATACATAATAGATTAGATATTGATCGTTGGGCTCTTTACAAGGATAGGTCGATTATGAAAGCTCTTCTTTGAGCGAACCTGGAGGGTGTCTTCGGCATAAATGGCTCGTACAGAGACCGGTGCCCTTTCCGGAACGAGACGTGACTCACGTCTGTTTGAGACATCATCGGCATGGCGTAACAAAGATAAAGCCACGCTACTCGTACATTCAGAATGCTATAGACTGACTAATCAGAAAGAAGATGGTTCATTTCTACTCTAATTTTAGATTAACAATTTTTTAATTTATAATTTTTGGTTATTTAATTTCATAATTTGCAATTATTTTTCTAAATTAATTTCCAATTTTTTATAAATACTCGTCTATAAGCTCTCTATTTTTTACAGAATTTTTCGCAACATCTTTGATATTACAGAAAGAAATCGCTCATTAATATCTAATATCTATACGATGTGTAATCTAATTAATATCAAATATCTTACGTAATATAAGGACTTATGTAAAGATGCTATGATATTCGTGATAATTTATACGTAACTCGTCGGATAGATTTACTTGCTCGGGAGATTTTATGCGAGATGAGAGGCATGCCGTGGGTCGTCACAATCACTCGAAGCAATTCAAATTTATATAAATCATTCTGTTTTGATTGAATTATGTAGATTGTGTAAGAAAGAAATGAAGTGTTATTAACGGGAAACTTAAATGAATTTAATTTTATTTATGCATGCGAACAATTTAATTTAACATGCTAAAAAAATTTCTTATATATTTCGTATATATTTGTATGTGTACTTTTTAAAATCCTGGAACAAGAGAGTACTATAGAAATGCAAAAAGAAATGTTCGAATCGTATGTTATGTAATTATACGCAATTTGCTTCGATATAAAGTTTGCACATCAATGATTGTTACGGATTCCTCGTTAACACGTATTTGTATACCTCGTTGATACGTATCGTTGCATTACCCATTGCTCTAATCATAATTACAGGTGTCCGATTATGTATGGAGACTTCGTTATGTCGATCTCTACTGTATTCGCGATAATATGTATATATGAAAATAAATTTCGCATGCTAATTCGCTTTTATATTCATTACAGTTTGAATAATCAAAGCTAAATGTCGAATGGCGAATCATAACTGAATATCGATGAGTTTTTTTTCTACGCTGTGAACAATTCGCGAAATTATTCATTAAATTTCGAGAGAGAATTTTCCATCTCGCGCACTTTGCATATTTTCATTATTAGCTCTTAAAGGTCACATATAAATCATTTGGATCCTATCGATATTTTAACAATAGAATATTTTTATCATTAAAAAAATATGTACAATTTATTTTTTAGCTTTTGCACATGATTATTTTTTTTTATAAAATGTCAAGAAATATACAATATAATTTTTTGTAGATTTTTGTTAACCGCTTTAAGACAGCTAAAACTGCGACAAGACATTGTGATTTATATATGACTAGGAATAGAGCAAAAAAATATATAATTCACCTAGTTCGAAGTCGTGATAATTAATTATTGATGTATTTTTCATTTTGCTATTTTATTGTTTTTCGTAAAAGTTTAATTTTTTCGCTGAATAATTTCGTGTGGAAAATTGCAAAATTGCATTTTCAGCCAACGAGATATTTGTGAGATTTCGGGTGACATCAAAGTTGCAGTA